AGCAGGGGGAGAGCAGAGCACAGAGAGCATCGATCAGCAGGGGGAGAGCAGAGAGCATCGATCAGCAGGGGGGAGAGCAGAGCACAGAGAGCATCGATCAGCAGGGGGAGAGCAGAGCACAGAGAGCATCGATCAGCAGGGGGAGAGCAGAAAGCAGAGAGCATCGATGGGGCGGGGCTGAGGAGCGCCGAGCGCGTCAATGGGGCGGGGATCGATAACGGGGATCGATAACGGGGATCGATAACAGGGATTGATAACGGGGATCAATAAACTGGGATTGATAACAGGGAACGATAACGGATTGATAACGGGGATCGATTACAGTGACTGATAACGGGGATCAATAAACAGGGATTGATAACGGGGATCGATAACGGCGATTGATGACAACGGTGATTGATAATGGGGGATTGATAATGGGGGTTGATAATGGGGATTTATAAAGGGGATCAATAAACGGGGATTGATAACGAGGATCAATAAACGGGGATTGATAACAGAGATTGATAACAGGGATCAATTAACGGGGATTGGTAATGGGGAACGATAACAGGGTTTGATAATGGGGATTGATGATAACGGGGATTGATAAGGGGGATTGATAATTGGGCATTAATAACAGGGATCGATAATGGGGATCGATAATCGGACGGAGATTTATAACAAGGGATTGATAATGGGGGATGGATCGATAAACAGGGATCGATAACGGGGATCGCTAACGGGGATCGATAAACAGGGATCGATAATGAGGATCGATACCCTGGGATTGATGACCTGGGATCAATAACCGAGGGGGGGTATCGGTGATCGATCACCAATCAATCGCTGCTGATCAATACGGGTTATCAATAGGGCTCATCTGGGGCCACAAGCTCCTGTAGGGGCCGGGAGCCCCTATGGGGTCAGGGGGGTCCCATGGGGTCAGGGGGGTCCCATGGGGTCACAGGGCCCTATAGGGTCAGGGGGGTCCCATGGGGTCAGGGGCGTCCCATTTAGGGTCATAGGGCCCTATAGGATCAGGGTGTCCCATAGGGTCAGGGGTTATTTAGGGTCAGGGGTGTCCCATAGGATCAGGGGTCCAGGGGGTCCCATAGGGCCAGGACGTTATTTAGGGTCAGANGGTCCCATCATGCCATGGGGCACTATAGGGTCACAGTGTCCTGTGGGATCAGGGGTCCCAGGGGTCCCAATAGGGTCAGGGGTCACAGTGTCCTGTAGGGTCAGGGGGTCCCAGTGTCCCATAGGATCAGGGGTCCCAATAGGATCAGGGGTCCCAGTGTCCCATAGGATCAGGGGGTCCCAGTGTCCCATAGGATCAGGGGGTCCCATAGGATCGGGGGGTCCCAGTGTCCCATAGGATCGGGGGTCCCAGTGTTCCATAGGATCGGGGGGTCCCAGTGTCCCATAGGATCAGGGGGTCCCAGTGTCCCATAGGGTCGGGGGGTCCCAGTCTCCCATAGGATCGGGGGTCCCAGTGTCCCATAGGATCGGGGGTCCCAGTAGGATCAGGGGTCAGTGTCCCATAGGATCAGGGGTCCCAGTATCCCATAGGATCAGGGGTCCCAGTATCCCATAGGATCGGGGGTCCCAGTAGGATCAGGGGGTCCCAGTGTCCCATAGGATCAGGGGGTCCCAGTGTCCCATAGGATCAGGGGTCCCAGTATCCCATAGGATCGGGGGTCCCAGTGTTCCATAGGATCGGGGGGTCCCAGTGTCCCATAGGATCGGGGGGTCCCAGTGTCCCATAGGGTCGGGGGGTCCCAGTCTCCCATAGGGTCGGGGGTCCCAGTGTCCCATAGGATCGGGGGGTCCCAGTATCCCATAGGATCAGGGTGTCCCAGTGTCCTGTAGGATCAGGGGGTCCCAGTATCCCATAGGATCAGGGGTCCCAGTGTCCCATAGGATCGGGGGTCCCAGGGGTCCCAGCACTGTCCTCATTCCCCCTGACCCCATCCCAACCCTGCCCTCGCTGCCCCAGGAAGGCGCCGAGCCCGTAAAAGTTCCCAAATCTTTATGGCAGGAGGCACTTTCACACATCGGGCCATAAAACCCCGGGGCCATAAAACCCCGGGGCCATAAAACCCCGCTGACCTTCGAGCTGTGGGGCTGCAGGAACCTTCGGGCTGGGAGGATCCATGGGGGCCACAGAAACCTTTGGGGTCTGCAGAACCCCCTGGAGTCCATAAAATC